GGAGGGGGGCGGGGCGGGAAATGCACACACTGGCAGGGAATAGCCGCAGCCAGACCTGCCCGCCTCCGCACTCTCAGCACATGGACTGTGTAACGTCCCGCCACGGAGCAGAGCGCGAGGACCAGGGGTGGCTGCAGACCAGCCCCTCACTCACCGCGTTGTGGCCGAAGAACTCACAGTAGCAGCAGTCGCAGAACTTCCCATCTTTCTGGTTGGTGGAGGAGGAGGTGCAGGAACTGCGCTCTGAGCTGCTGTCCTCGTCCTCCCCGAGCCCCTCATCGGCCTCACATGGCTGTGGCAGGTGACAGCTGGTACCGTTTGGGAATTTGTGCCCTTTGCAAGGGGGGTCCCTGAGGAGAAGGGGAGGAGGGCAAGAAGTCAGGGGGAGCCTGGGGGTCACAAAAAAATAATCCCACACTAGGCGTGTAGGAACACCCCTCCCAGGGCAGCCTGTGCCCAACCAGATGGATTTGCAGAGCAGACAAACCCCCTCCCCTGCATTCTCCTCCTCCAGGGGAGACACCAGAGGAGCCCATGGCAGAAGACATCTGTAGCTCCTTGCCCCCCAGGGCCTCTGGCAGGCAGGAGGCTGGTGCACCAGAGCTCCAGAAAGCAGAGTCCCTCTGCCAGGCCACAAGCTGATTCCAGGGCAGGGAGCGGTACTCACTGGGGGCACAGGTGAGAAACGCTGGAACTGCATGCAGCTGCCAGACATCCCCACGTGCAGGCAGGCCCGGCTCCCACAGGCACAGACTACCCAGCTCAGAGACAGGGAGGCCAGGGCACGGCCCACAGCACCATTCCTCAAGCTCCAGCTCGGGACCCGGCTGGCCCTCCGCAGGGAGCGCTAATCAGCGGAGAGGAACCAGTGCCCGCGACTCAGCATGCTCTCTTCCAGGGCACAGGCAGCCCAGAGAGGGCCAGGGGAGCAGGCGAGCAGAACAACTCCACAGGCTTCATCTTCTCGAGGACCTTTGCTCAGTGCCACAGCTGCCCGACGGGTCTCACTGACAAAGGTCCTGCTGGCCAACAGCAGGTTGACCGGGTGGTTCCTTTGGGTCTTTTAGCTGGAGAAGGAGCAAGCACAGTCTCTTCTGCACCACAGTACTAAAGGACAACCGCAGGGAGAAGACACGTGGGGAGAAAAAGAGCTCAACCCTCAGAAACCAGGGGTCTGCAGCAGCAGAACTGGCCCACAAAGACAGTGGCTCTCCACACCACCACCACACCAGGGCAACCGGTCCCTCCGCAGGGAAAAGTGCATCCGCTGGCAGGGGTGGGAGAAAGGGTGCGCTGCCCAGCGAGGAGAGAGGCTGGAAGCAGGCAGGGCTCCTCTACTCACCTGTTCGTGCTGGGCAGCTGGTGGGAGGCAGGAGGAGGGATGAGTGATGTACTGCAGTGCCCGTTGCAGGGATGAGTGCAGCCCGACAGCGGAGGCGGCATCTTCAGCAGCGGCACGTTGGCAGGGGGCAAGTGAGGGCTCTTACAAGACCCCGGGCTGTGCGAGACCGTGCCAGCAGGAGGGGACTCTGACACTGGCTTCGGGGCTGCCACCTGCGTGCTGGGCGCAGGGAGGAGCGCAGCCTGTGGAGAGGTGCCCAGCGGGACATGGGGCGGGGAGCCGAAGGGCCCCGGATGGGCAGGCGTCTGCTTGGAGGGGATCAGCGCTGGCGGCTGGGAGGGGAGGCCAGTGGGACTGTTGGGAGGAGCAGTGAGGTCCGAGTGCTGATGATGCTCTGAGGAGTGGAAGGCCTCACCTGCAGAGGGGCAGGTGCAGAGACAGTCAGACACTAGCTGTCCCGCAGGGGCCAGGGCCTGGCTCAGAGCCACCCACCACCTCTGCACAGGTCGCTTCTCCACAGGGCAAACCCTGCCCTCCCCCTAGGCAGCAGGAGGCTCAGGCTAGAAGCCATCCCTGCTCGCAAGGGCCTTAGCAGCACCATGTCTCCCCCACAGGATTCAGCCCTGCCCCAGGGAAAGCAGAGCAAGGGGAAGGCGCTGGGGCAGCGAGGGCTGCGTGGAGCAGCAGGCTGGGAGGATAAGGCTGGCCCTGCCCCTGGGCACGCACCTGGCGGGGTGGCCCTCCGGCACATGCTTTTGAACTGTTTCGGCAGCGTCTTGCAAAAGTCGAGTGAGGTAGGCAGAGGAGAGCCCGGGGCGGCGCTGCTGGAGGTGGGGGAGGCTGCGTGGCTGTAGGGGCAGGCCTTGAGCCCTGGAGCCATGGCAGGCGCCTGGCTGGCGCACTCCGGAGAGAGAGCAAGGCCGGGGTGCTTGTCACCTGCAAGGAAAGCGTAGCTAGGGCCAGCTCTCAGCACCCTCTGCCTTTGCAAAGGGACCCAGGCATCCTGCTGGCACTGGCATTCAGAGGCCCAGCCTGCCTACCCCTGCCCACCAACTGGGTGCCCACAAGGAAAACACCTAAGCCAAGGACCAGGCAAAAAGCTCTGCTCAACCCTGTGGCCAGCTTCAACTCACCTAGTGCAGCAGGGGGTGCCCCGAGGGGGCTGCCTTGCACAGCCCCGTTGGTGTGCTGTGAGTTCCAGAGGCCGGAGAGCTTGTGAGCAGACAAGAAAGAGCTGGGGTCCCAGTCCCCTGAGTTCCCGTGGCACGAGGAGGAAGAAGAGGAGGAGGAGGAGGAAGAGGAGTGGGAGCCACCCCCACAAGACTGCGACTTGCAGGATGTGTGGGATAACGAGACCTGGCAAGGAAAACACAGAGTGAAGCAGCAGCAGGCTGGGAGGGGAGGCCCTTGGCCCCAGGGCAACAGCACCAAGACCCCCACCACAGCCATGAGGCAGGGGCTCAGCAGACAGGAACCACTGCTGTCACTGTTGCAGGGGTGGCAAACTGCCCATCTGTTCAACAGCAACACAGCCTGACTCCCAGGGCCCCTGCCAGCACAGCCACATCGTACCAAAGGCCACATGCCTGCTCTGGTCCTGCTTAAAACCAGGGCAGGCTTAAATAAAACCAAGCAGGAGAGAGCTGCTCTTCCCCCAAGCTCCATGCACAGGCAGACACTTGCCCTTGCACAAGCTGCCGCTTCAGGGGGACCCGGTGTAACAGTGGGGAGCAGCCTTGGGGCTGGGGGGCCGTGGCACAACACACAATGGAGCAGAGATGGCAGAAAAGCAGCGGCACTGCCAGCCTCGTCAGGCAGGCAGCTCCAACCCAGCCCCCGTGGTGCCACGCTCTGCCCCACTGCGGTGTCCCCGAGGAGGCGGCTGCAGCCCTACGGAGGGCAGCGTGGCTGCAGGGAGCAGTGAGGCTGGGATGTCTGAGGGGCTCAGCTCTGAGCTGGGAGGGCACACGCACACCTAGCCAGCGCCCAAGGGCGGTCAGCACCATGGTCCTGGGAGCTACAGCCCCAGCCTTTCCAACCCCAGCTCCATAACCGCTTACCGCCAGGGCCTGCTCCTGCACTGCCCGCCGCTCTTCCTCCTCCACGCTCTTCCGGCAGCTCTGGCAGATCCACAGTGGCATTTCTCCCAGGAGGTTCTGCACAAGCGTTGGCACGAAGTCTGGTGGCAGCCTCTCGCCCGGGGAAACCAGCCCATTGTGGGACGGCCCTCCCCAGTCCTTGCGCTCCCGG